TTTATGGCAGCTTTCCTACATAGGATGCTCTGTGCTGGCAGGCACACCATGCCAGCTTCTGACAGCACAGGCTATGCCAGCTTCTGCATCTCCTGACTGGGCCAGTTCTGGAGTTACAGAAAGTGAGGCCAAACACAACTTTGCAGGTCAAAGACAAAGACAAGAGCAGATGTTTCTGAACCACCCCTGAAGGGTGACCACCTTACTGCTTCCTGAAACCTAAGAGCCACAGTAATTTCATGGTCCCAGGCAAATTATTCTAGTAAATAATCACCAGACAGTTATACATCTCTTTTATAACATCTAATATAGATCTTTGCTACAATTTTTGCTTATTACCCCTAGTTCTTCTCTCAGAGAATAAACAGTGGAGTTTATGTTCTTTTCCTCTGACAGTTACATTTAAAATATGTGAAGACCATTGGCCCATCTTTCCTCCCACAGCTCAGTCATCTCTGTTATAAGCAAAAATAACATAATTCTCGATATCTTTCTGTATAGTTCTTATTCTTTAGGCTTGCAGTTCATTCCAATTGCACACCTCTGGGCTTTTTTATGAGAATAAAAGTAAAGACAGCTTTTAAACAATATAAACTAATGACTTCTATAATCACAGAATCTAAAATGTGAGTGTGAAGATGAAGTGTTATTTCTTTCCAGAGATGTAAAATGGCCTTTTCTTTCCTATTTTTTTTTATTACATCTTTTATCTCTGCTAATCTGAGATAATTGTTGAGGTGCTTCGAAGGCAGTACCACCTTAGGTCCTCTTTTGCTTGTAATTGTCATTCATGCAATTGCAGAAATGCATCTAAAAATAGATATCTACCAAACTCTCTGCAATGAAGGTATGACCTCATTACGCTGGGAAGGAAAGAAAACACATGGTCCCTTGATTTAGCAACAGACATTGTCATCTCATTGACACTATTTTACATAGAGGAAATGCATTTCTCTGTGTTTGAAAGGATCAGTGTGAAAAACATTTGTAGAACTCAGAGGTTGTTTGAGAACCCTTATTTGCCTGATCTGATGTTGAATGTCTATAGCAAGTTACTGGTCTTGCATTTCCTGAGTTGACACTCTTGAGCCAATTTTAGTTGACTGACTGGTGGCAATTGGAGCAGTGATTGAAAAAAGCACAAAATACCACAAGTTCTTCAGCTGAAGGACCACACATGGCAGCACACACTGGAAGTGGCAGGCAGGAGATAGTGTTTGGATCCACAGTGACAGGCTTTGCAGGTGGGGTAGTGAAACTTCTTAGCCATGACAGAAGACATTTCTCATACCGATGTGTCCTAGAAGGAGAGTCATGTTGAGAAGCAACCACAGTATTTACCCTTTTCCCCCTAAATCTGATAAAAATATGCCTTTTAGGTGCTGAATATGAAATTTGTTTGGCTGTGATTACTCTTATCTCTACTAAAGCCAAATAATTTGCTGAGTTACATAAACAGGTGGTATCAACAGTCTTGATATCTCTGCTATATGAAACAAAGTCAAATGCCATGAAAGCTCCAAATATTCATTATTGCATAAAATGTTCTGTGCCAAAGTACTGCAATGAAAGTTTGAGCTGTACATACAGACACTTTGAGTCTTTAATCCCACTTGGACAGAAGCTAAAGATCTTTTCTTTCATTTTTCCCCAAATTAAAAAGATTTTTGAGAGGTTTCTGTACTTTCCAAACTTGCCCAACTTTGAAAGCAAAATTTTAAAAACAGTAAACAACACTAAATAAATAGATAAACAAATAAATAAATAAATAAATCCTTAATCAAAGGAGCTAGATCTTGATTACTTTATAGATTTTAGTTTTATTTTTCCAAAGCATTTTCCAGTTCCCCACTGGCCAACACTGCTGAGTGAAATGATTTTTCAGCAAAAATAGTTCACTTCTGGATTATCAATATCTTACCTTTGCATAACAGTAAGGAAAGCAGCTTCTCATTGACAGACTTGTTCCTTGCAGGCATTCCCTGCCACAGTTCACTCTCTAGTTCTGGATATGCTGCATCTTTCCTTCTCTTTGACTTTTGTGAATAGTGCCATGTATTTGGATGTTTGGCACGTGTTTGCTCTCCTTCTTTCTACATGTGCTGTTGTGTAAGTGATGATTTAGGTGTGTCCAAGACAGCTCTATTCCTGTCTTCTCATTTGAGTCACAACCACTGGTATCATCAGAGCAAAAAGCAAAGTGTTTTCCCTGACCAAGATTCAAGGGCAGAGTTTCATCACTTAAAGTGCAGGGAGGCAGAATGGTCTGCAGGAATCAGCTTGCAGATGGGAAGCTGACATGAGTGCAGTGGACTTCTGTAATACTGGACATTGTACTGCTACGCTATAAAAGAAAATCTTACTCATCTCTGCTTTAAACTTCAGAGTAATACTTGATTGTTTGCTCTTTTGGCTTGTAGAGACTTAGACAAACATGTCCTAAACCTTCCTTTTTTTTTTTTTTTTTTTTTTTTTGGTAGGACACATTTTAACACTCTTATGAAGGAAATTGAGGAAATAACCTGCATATTTGTCTCTGGCATGAATAACAAAGTATGTCCCTATAGAACTTCCACATTGTTAAAGTGAATTTTCTTGTTTACACCATATTTAAATTATTTGCCAAGGCCAACTGCCATAAGCCACAACAACTAACACAAATAACAGTATTTTTTTTATGATGGTCTTTTCTAGTGAAATATAAGCCAATCAGTAGAGTAGTAACTAATATTGGATGATGCTTCACTCTCCATTCATAAATTCATTAACAAACACAAAATTTCATACTTCATGAAAAATTTATCCTAAACAGCCAGCTTTGTTGAGAAAAAATCATAGGGGACAAGTTTTTTTTCAAACTGCTGGTACAATTAAAAATTTAATAAACATTTTTCAGATTTCCACTGTCTTTTGCATTTTCATGCAAAGCTATCCCCAAATTATTTACAAGTTTGAACATACAAAATATGAGTGATGGTGTTAATATTGCTTGTCTTAGCCTTGAGTTACACAGAACTACAGAAACACTGTCCTAAATCCTAAATTCCAGAAAAAAAAATATAGGAAAAACATTTCTGAGAGGAGTACCCCATGCATAGGTAAAAAAACCTGAAGGCCTGACACACAGGAACAAAATGCTGGCCACAGATTCTTTTCTTTGGGGGCATCTCTAATCTTTTCTGGGAAGCAACCGAATGCTCATACCCAGCCAAAGCTCTTATTGGTGTGTCAAGTATATTAGAAACACCAAACTATGTGTTTCTGAAGAATATAATGTCTTATTCAAAGGAAATGGCACTGACAAGATTTTACCTCCTTAATATAAGGGACTTCAGGGATCTCCTTGGACAATGCAGTTTGCTGTCACTCTCTGCATGATGGTTAGGACAGCTAGGTACAATCCAGCTTGAAGACAATGTAATAGGTTCCCCACAAAACAGAAAGAGGGAGAAGGATCTTCGGGGAACAGAGAAAACCCAGCATACAAAGCATGCTACATTCTCCCCTCCCGTCAACTCTCCCTCACCTCAAAACCAGCAGAGATTTTTTTTCTCAGCAGCAGTGTGGACCCATATCAGGACCTCAAAGCATTTTCCTTTTAACTTCCCCTGACTTTATTATGCTGGGAATTTTTACATATCCATCTTTTACATATATTTTTACTCCTTTGTGGTCTAAAACAAGCTTCAGAAGAGTTAACTGCTGTCTTATTTACACCTTTCTTATACTTCTTTTCATCCCAGTGGCACAATTTCCTTCAGAAACTGTGAACCCACAGGAATTCCTTGGTATGTTTAATTCATTTTTCTGTGGCTTAGAGAGATTCAATAAATCCCTAAATCATATCCAGACACTGTAACATTTGTGATTAAGCATATGTGGCCAGCTCCATCCATTTTATAGCCATGTACAATAGAAGTGTGACTTCTTGCCTCTCTCAAAAGATGTGCATCTTCTGGATATCAAGGCAGGACACTATCAGTACAATGCTGTCAATGTTCAGCCTTCTGTGCAGCCTGTATGACCTTTAGTGGCATCTAGTGGCAAATGAGTTTGCAGGGGAAAATCGTCACAATTAAATGGCAATTAAACCAATGAAAATTGATTTCATGTTCATATGTGAGAGTGGGAAGAATGGAGCTTGCAGTGTATCAGCATAGAGAGAACACATTGCTGGCTGCCAGCCTACCTTTCCAGTCTAAATTATCACTAGGCATTATAGGCCACGTGACCAAATTAGTTCCAGTGCTAATTTATAGAGCTTCTGATAAGACTTTCTAATTATGGTTTGGAACAAGGCCTACAGGTAGTTAAGAAGTTAACATTAGCCACCTTTTCCTGTTTTTGCTACTTTGTTGATCATAATTTATTTCTTCCATTTCTTCCATATGAGACATTCTTTTCTACCACAATGTGGGTGCTCTTACTATTATCCCTAGAAACAGCACAAAAGATTTTGATATTGCCTTGGCAGAAGCACAGAGCTTCTCTTCCTAAGTGAGATTCACTAGTGTTTTGATTTTACCAGATGTCACAATACTTTCTTCTCTTGTCTAATATTAAAATATATATGGAGCAATATGCTGGATAGTGGCAACATACTGATAGAAGCTCAGAGTCAAAAGATGTTTGTCTCATAAATATGTGATTCCACATTCAGGCAATATACTGATAGAAGTTGAAGAGACTTCTAGCTCTGCTGGGATAACAGTCTGCAATATTTAAACTGATGTGGTTTTAGTGCATTAGTTTTCCAGAAAAGTCAGCTGTATGCAAAAAGAAGCAATTGAATAAGCATTGTAGGTAAAATAGTCTGCCTAAATGTTTTTTGTTTCTTTTTAAATAAACCCAAATGTTAAAGATTCAAGACAAAAAATATATATATACATACTAAAATTTCTGCAGAAAATATCTCCACAGGTGCAAAATGTCATGCATGACTTAATGTATGCTGTTGTTATTATATATTATTGTTAATGCAACCTGTTGTTATTTTGCAGCTCCACAAAGGATGAGAAAACAGCTGTGAGTATAGCGTTTAAAATCCATAATATTTTCTAAAGAAAATCTGTATTTACAATGAGTAAATTTATATTCATGCAACAAAAAAGAAGTTCTGGTGAAAAGTTTAGTGTTGCTCATCATTTGGGTTGACAGAAAAGGTATTGTTTGAGAATGCTTTTCAGTGAAATGTTTTCAGCTAAATTCTTCTCTTTACTGAGATACTGTAATATTAGATCCACTTCACAAGGAAGCCTGGCGGGAAATGCAGAAGGAGATATTTGGTCATTGCACAACTGCAAAATAATATGTAGACAGACCTCTTAGAACAACTAGGATTACAGGAATACTGCAATATGCCATTCTGGGAGTTGTTGATGAAGTCCTTGCTTCTGTGATCCAGAAATGCCTCCTGTTTCCTGGGAACTGCCACTTCCTAAAGGCCTATAGAGCAGTGTGTCACAATCTCTTAGGTCAGTTTTTTGAAATAAGGAATGGGTGTTCTATTACAACACTGAACATGTCAATGAGTCACAATTCACTTTTTAAGAAAGAAACAAGAAAACTTTCCCCAGTAGATTAATGAATCAGGTACATTCATACAAAAAGTCCTTCTTGCTTCCTTTGCTGTGGGTTATACCGACATTTTGGCAGCTAATAAAACACAGGGGCCAGAAAATATATTTGGGACAGTTGAGTGTGTTTGTCTGCCAAATTAAATAATAGACCAGAGACATTGGAACAGGACTAGAGAATGTACAAGATAAGTGAAAGCTGTGCCAGCTGAGAGGTCTAATGGTCTTACTGGAAAGTGGCTTGAACAGCTTGCAGCTGAGATGAGACAAAAAGTCCATGAGGACAGAGAATTCCATCTGTCCCTGAATACATTTTTCCATTTAGAGTTTAAGAAGGATATAAAAATCATTTGAGTTCCTTGATTTGCATTGTGAAAGGAAAATGGGAAAAGATGGTTATGTTCTCCTGACACTACACTGTGACTTAAGCTTTACCTTTGTTCAAGGGAAAACCTTCTGCTTGAAGAAGCATTAAAGCACAGTGTTATAAGTCAAGGACCAAAATGCTCCCTATTAATAAATTGAATTAATGATCAGTGGATAGCTGATTCTAGCAGCAAAGAAACTGCATCTAGATGAAACTGATTTGTCATATAAAATAAATACTTTTTACAGTTCAAGACTTTTGACTCTCTAGTGATGAAGTCCCAGCAAAATGTCTCCTGTGAAGGAGGTGAGTTTAGAGGAAGAAACCCCTATTGGAGCTACCCAGCATTCTGAAGGCTTCAAACTGCCTTAAACTAGACATAGAGTTCTAGTTATCTTTCAGCATGCAATGAGCTGGCAGCTGGCATCTGATAGCTGATCAGAGAGTTTAGAATTTTCAGTGCCATGGAGGTCTTTAGAAAGCTAATATCTTCTGGCTAAAAGAATACTGGTTGAACAATTAGGGTTTGATTCAAGTAAACAGTTGGCAGGTTTAGGAATGCTGCTTAAACTGAGGTGGATTTTGTTCTTAAAAGCTTATGTTTGTCAAGCATGGCACCCCAGCAGCCTAAGTGTACAGTATGCCTCTCTCCCTTCAAATCCAGGAATAGATGAGATTGAAGGACAAGTCCTACAAAAATTGAAATGATTTTTAAAAATTTACAGAGTGTCAAAAGTGTGAGACACATTTGATTAAAACATAACAATACATTTTTCCCAAAATACTTAAAATCTGAATTAGCTTCATTTATATCAAACATATCACATTCAAAATGTCCAAATAGTATAGATTTTATATTAAATATAATATTTAGGTCTAAACATAATGGATTAAATAACTGTTAAGGCAAACATAAAAGTCATAGTCAGATTTACCTGAAGATATTTTAGCAGAAATGATATGGAAACACGAGTATAGAGAAAACTTCTAAGTATTAGTTGACAATGGCATATTCTTCAGTGAGAACAGCTGACAAAGAAAGAGTAATCTAAGGATTATTTCTCTTCTGACAGGCTCTACTGTGCTAATCTGGAGTTACAATTAGAAAAATATAAAGTGCATTGATTTCAAAATAGCTCCTCCTCTGAAGAATGTAATTACATAATGAGGAAGAAAAAAAATCCCAAAACAAAACAGGGATGAAATTAATATGTACTAATAAAGAAGACAGAAACATGAGACTAATAATAAGAAATCTTTTTTGTAAATTGATAGGAGTAGCAGGAAGAAAGGTTTGCCTTTGGGATAATAAAGAGAAGAGAAAGGGAGGAAGTAAAAGGTAAGTATGGATAGTGTAGTGTAGTAAGGGTGAATTTAAGCAGCTTGAATGTGATATCAAGGACAAGTGGAGCTGATCAGGGATTCAAATTGGAAATGATAGTGTATTACATGCAAAATATCAGTTAAGAAGGAGAAGCTGCAAAAAGCAGTCAAAGAAAGGGTAAAATTACTAACAGATTCAAAGAAACACACAGGGAGACAAGATATTTTTTATTTTTCAAAACTCAGTTTGATAGCATCTACAGGCTGTACTCTGTGTGCTGAGCACTTTTACCAGAGACAGCCAAGAACATTAGGAAACAGTTGCTGCTACTCTTTCACTTGCAGAGAAATCAGCCCTTATCAACCACTTAATTGGTGAGACTTAGTCATGCTTCAGAGTCTCTGAAAAATACTTAAAACAAATATTATATTTATCAGCTATTAGGTTATTAATTTTATCTTCAGAGAAATAAGTCACAACAGCTTAATCACAGAAGGGCTATTGCCAGAACCAGATCAGATCAACCTTGATTTTGCCTAGCTGTATCTTGAAAGTCCCCAAAGACTTTCAACAAACCTACAGGGATGGAGATCCTACAGCCTTTCTGATTGTTACCTTGTGCTTCCAGGAGAGATGTTTTCTAATGTTCAGTTTGAGCTCCAGTTGTTTTCCTTCAGAAATGTCTATCAGTTCTCATAATACAAAGCAGAAGTCAAAAGGCCCTTTATTAAAGACATTTTCAATGCCACAAGACAAGCTCCATGCATTCAGCTATCCTTCCCATAAACTCTTTTTACTGTTAGAGAGGCAGCCAGAACACTAACAGTCAACAGCTTAAACAGGGACTCACACAAACATGCCTAAGTATTTACACTGTTTACATTCAGTGCCTGCCTCCTTTTTATTGTTGTCTATGATATGACAAAAATGGCACGTGGTTCCTGCAATCATGCTTTCCCCCATGATGCTAAGCAGAGCTTCAACCTAAGAACAGAGAGGTGAAAAGCTTCTTTCTCACTGCATGCAGAAGCAGGGGTCTGAGGTTACACCATACCCCAGATTCAGCTACAGGCTGGCTCTGTTATGAATGAGGTTTTGCTCATTTGAGCTGGGGAATTGAAAGCAGCTGGATATAATGCTTGTCTCACATGCTGTTGGCTACAGATGCTGGCATTCCTTAGCCACGCAGGTTTCCTCTGCCCTTTGAGAAGTGCTTTTTGAATGCTATAATTCTGGTAGTGTATCCTCCTACTGTCACACTCCAAGTTGTTCTTCAACCCAGTCTGCTCCCTTCCAAGCTAAGCAGATTTGCCAGTTTGGACAAAGTGTGTAAAGGCACATATGTTGCATGCCTGTGCTGCTTCTCACTTGCAATAGGACCAAGTTTGTCAATGGTAATATTTTGTTTCTCTCTGCTGGTTGAAAAAGGAAAGTAATTTTCTCCATATATCCGAGTGAGAAATAGGTGCCGAATAGGCTGTTAGTCATTTAGCATGGGTCTTAGAGCTTTCAGGTTTAGAATGCCAACCCCTTAATTGCTAATCTTCATGGGTTTGGTTTTGCCTTTGAGGAAATGAACACTCTAACTCTGTTGTGGAAGCATTCAGGCAAGTCTGAATAAACCTTTATATTTCCCTTCTGAACTGGACAACCACAGCATGGGAACTACATTTGTGGCTTATTTCTAACTTGTATTCTCTTGGTTTTGTATATTTTAAAGTATAGAAGTAACTTTGAAAAGAGTAATTCTGCCCTAGCATAACCATCTGCAGCAAAAGAGTAAGTGCTTGGCAACACTAACTAGTTCATAGAAGTTCTTACTAGATATAAATAATCCCATGTTCTGGCAAAGAAAGTCTTCACAGTGTGATCTTTAGTTGGAGGAAAGAAAACTTATGTTAGTTGGCACATCTAGCAGCATAATGTAGTTATTATTAAAAAAGTGACCAAGTAAAAGTGGCACCTTGTTAAATAATGTAACAACTCTCTGTGCACATTCTAGGGCAGATTGGCTTACACTGTTTAAAACAAAAATAAACTTTTATTGCCTTCTGCTCCTGTTAACACTGCTGAGCCAACACATCCACACACAGCAGCAAGAGGCCAGAGCCAAATACAGAAGTGTTTTAGTAGGACCAAGGTGAACTTTAAATATATAAGCCATTAATACAGATTTAAAAAATGGGGTTACTGTAGACCTAAATTTCCAACAGAATCCTCTTTCTAACATAAAGCCTGATCACAGGGATTTTGCAGAACATGCCTGATATTTCAAGACTTCTTGCAATACCGGCAGCATTGATGCTTCCCACGGTCAGCTGCGTGACCAGAGGTGTCAGACATGCTCTGCTCTTGTGGGTACAGCTGAGATTTATGGACATGCAGCCATCTGGTCAGAGATGCTCTGCACTTTTTCTTCACAGTGATCCCTTTGCTTCAGTGATCCCTACCTACTTCAGGTAGGTTAGTGACAAATACTGCACACTGGCTGCTTCTAGACCAGTGAAATGGTGTGCTCAGGACTGCTGTCTGGAACAGAGGTCACAGAGAGCGCCGTGCCTTGTTCCTGCTCTTAACTCTACTCCCCCCGTTCAGAGTGCCTATACGTCTCTGTGGGAAAGCTCAAACCCATAGAAAGTTGAAGCCATAGAAATGTACATGGTATGTGACAAGGTCATAGACAGAGGCCTCCCAGTCTTGATTTCAGGGCTGCATATGCATTTTACTTAAATAGTCCCTCTAGGAATAAAGAAACAGG